GCTTTCGAGGGTACTTGAACACCGTCGACGTACAGCGATAAGAAATTAATACAATAGTTTTTAAAATTGAACGGGTTGAACTGATAGTTACCGTTGAAGGCCTTGTTATTGACGAAACCTATTATAATACGCTTAGGTAATTGGCCGAGAATCACGTTATCCATTGTGCCACCGTGCAAGCCGTCGTGCATCGTCAGGGCCTTGACCTCCACACGTGTCAGCAGATACTTGGCCGTTGTCTTAGACAGCATTTTAGAATGCGTTATTAGAATACCAGGGCTTATTTGCGCGTCTTACGAGGAGCGTAGCCTCCGTTATATGTAACGAGCACTCACTCTTGGGGTCCATGAGGGAGAAACCATCTCTCGTACGTACAAGTCGTAAACGGAGCTCGACACAGTTTAATAAAAATTGTTCTTGGTTAAACACATCGCAGTGTAAATGGCCAATCAGATCGACCGTCCTGTCTTTACCGACGAACGCTTGCCTATTCGCGAGGCCTATATTCTTGCCTGCTGTATCGTCCATATGACCGGGCGTGTCGTTGTACCAGAGCACGCTCGAGAGGTGTGACCCCTTAGCGGCGGGCTCGTAATTTAATAGCGTCTCTATATAAGCTCTGTAAGCGTACGCGTTATTAGGTGGCGATACGACCTTCTAATTAAGAAATACGTCCACCTGATTGAATAGCGAGTTTAGCAGATTGTTAACAGGGGCTGCTTTGCTCAGAGCGTCCGGTGCTAACGCGTCCTTGGATCGCAGCTGTACGCGTAAACTCAGCATGGGGTGTGCTAGATCGAGGTACTCGTCGCCGTTACCCGGCACGACAAATTCAATGGGCGAGTCATGGATCAGCAATGAGATAGGTTTATAGTGCATCCACTGAGCGCTTTTTATAGCAGTCTGCGTCGGTGGTAGTGTAAAGAGTTGGAACTCCGATTTCATACACTCGCATGAGTGCGAGAGTAGGAAGTCCATGATAAAGATAGCGCTCAGGAGAAGATATCCAGCACGCTCCGCTTATTTTTTATTTTACTACCGCTCCTTCGACCATTATTTGGTTTCTTGGTTTTTGCCTTTATTCTTTTACTACTTGTTTTCCTTTTTCTACGTGAGGCGATATTTTTTTTTCGTACTCCTCTTTTTCTTACGCTTATTAGCAGGTCTTAAGGGTAAGGCAATGCTCCTTCTAGCGACGCCGATGATAGAGTGGCCACCGCATGATTGTTTTACAGCTTTATAGCCCGATCCTTTCATGAGCTTGTCAATTTTCGCCTCCGTCCTACGTTTAAGATTCATACCCGATTCGGCGGCCCTGGTGCGAAACGCCTGCTTCAGCGGAGCACCGCACCGAGAAAGCTACCGATACCATGACCCCGCTAATACAGCGACCCCGTAAACACCCGAAATTTCGTAGAGGGGCCCCTGTCTATCTGCGAATCGTAGTAATCGGTGTAATGAGCCATCAGTCTAGCCGTTTAAAGTGTAGTGTAGCCGGAGAGCGTTCCTGATTCGAATGGTATGAGGTCGCCCAGGTGGTCTCTTATATCGATGTCGATCGTTTGAAAAGTCGTGGGGAGCATCGGTATGTACTTTAACGGTGAAAATGAGAGCACTTTTACAGCCGCGTACGCGTATTTGTTATCTGGCTGCAGGGGAACCACGCGGAGCAGGGGAGTTTGTACTTCTCCGGTGATATACGGCTCGCAGACATCGCTGTAAAAGAAAAGCATCTTGGGTAGGGCGTTGATCAGACTAGCCGGTTGATTGGCCATCACAAGGGGTTCTGTTTTCGATACCACACCTGTCTCGGTAAAACCTAGGATGCGCGCCAGAGAGCGGCAGAGTCTCAGCTCGTGTGGATCGTCTAGATCGTTATCAGTAGAGACGAACGGTACGTTTACGTAACCGCCTCTGCAGAGTTCTAGTTTCAGACGGCCCGTCACAGCCCTGGTAGCGTTTATTTCGACAATAAGTATTTTTTGAGGTTTGGTACGGGTGGTGACCACGAACAGGTGATCCCAGTCTTTTAGCGCTACGGGCACGTGACGAAAGGCCATAGGGATCTGTATTTCAATCAGACTAACAGACCATGTCCCGTGTAAATCGATTTGATGCGGTAGATGCGTCGTAAAACTGGTAGTTTTATTTTTAGGATAGTACGACATACTGCTGTTACTAGGAAGAACGAGATAAAATTGGTCCTTCATTGCTTTTTAAGCGGGACGCCGGTATCCACGAATTAAATTTCTCGGGGTAACCTACCCAGCTGACCAGTACATTTTGGACTTTCCCACGACCGCTTCGTTTTATTACACGATCGACGAGAAACGTGTCCTTTGCGAGGTCCTTGCGAACTCGACCGAGCTCCTCTTCGTAAAATATACCGTTAATCTGCTCGCCAGCGAGATCTTCTAAGATGTAGACGGGCGGTTCCCTCGTTGTACCTAGGCGTGCGATTTTAAAAATCTCTCGAGTCCACCCACCCTCGTAACCTTTCGCAAAAGGGTTCCCAGCGCTACTGATGCGTACCAGGTCGCCGACACTGTATTTAGGGACACGCGTGCTCGCTGATGCGTACCGCGTAGATAGGTTCATACGTGCTCTACCGGCGTTATACAGGGTTACGTCGACCGGGCGCATGCTTATCGTAGAGTGGCGTGTCCTGTTGTATGATTCCACGAGATTCTGAAGAATATCTATGTACCGCCGCGTGTTTCTATGTGTAAAGTAGCGTCACATACGCTCCTTCAGAGTACGATTGTAACGCTCGACGACAGCTGCCTTTACGTCGGGGCTGTGTGCTACACGGAATCCTATGCCGAGCTCCTCGAGCAGACGCTGCAGTACACCGTTGGTAAACTCTTTACCTTTGTCTGTCTGTAGGTACATGAGTATCCTATTCTTACTACGTGCCGAAACCCTCCGGAATGCCGCGGCTACCGTCGCACCGATCTTATCGCGTAAAGGCTCGACCCAAGTGTATTTGCTGAGTACATTGATTATTACAAGTATATACGTGCAACCATCGTTGAACTCCTTCAACGAGCGAAGGTTAACAAGATTGGCCTCTCAAACGTCATCGATATTGCTGACGCGTTAGAGCGACGCTGAAACGTACGTCGTACGGGCTTATGCAACGTATACGCGTCCTGCGCCTCTAACCAACGTACGACGGAATCTCGTTTTACCCGGCCCCTAACCGCTCGCTCTAGGTTACCTTTATCGGCGTACGAAGACGGTTCTGCTTGTGTGTAATAAAGACGTCTCAGAAGGCTATCATCAGACGATGTCTTTTTCTTCTTCCGTTTCACGGCAGCCTTAACCATCTTTTCTTTTTCTCGGTATCGCTGGTTGTACCGGCCGACACGGATCGCGTATATTTTTTCCCCACGAGCTCTTCTTCCCCGGATTCTCTAAATACTTCCTGAAAAGCCTCGCCAAATTCCTCCTCTGTAGACGAGCTCTAAGTCGACTCGATAGGGCGCGGCACGATTGTGCCGGCGCGGTGTCTGATTACCGAGAGACGTCGTGTTGCTCCCCTCCCTCCATAGACGCTGATTACCGATATATTCGCGTGGTATACCGGCAGTACGGAGGAACCGCGCAAACTGCCGACTCCCCGCCGGTCTCGCTCTTTTTCTCTCACGCATAGCGTCGTTGATTAAATCCACGATGTTGGCGTCCTGCACGACGGCTCCATCGATACGCGTAACGCCCTGTTTACTCCACGAGATGCGTGGCGAACCAGCGTTGCGCAGCCTTCCTAGTAAGAGCTTAGCCTTAGCTCTGTACTTTTGGGGTACACTAGCAATGATGTCGTCGCCATCGTCGGTCAAGCTCCTGACATTATCCTCCGCAGAATTGTTATTTTTTTTCTTGGTTTCGTTATCGCGTCGCCTATCCTCGTCGATGTTATCCCGCAGGTCGTCGATGAAGTGTAGATAACGCTGCAGCACCTGATTGTACATCTTCCACTTTTCGCGCTCGTCGATGAAATTCGATGAGTATAGGATCTCCTTCATGGATGCGTCTAATCTGCTGAAGGGGGTCCCGGGGGTCTGCACGGTGTTTACGGTGTCGACACCCTGCTCCTGCTGCTGCTGGTGGTGGTGTTGGTGGTGTTGGTGGGGCGTATGAGGAATTGCCCGGTAGTGCTGCTGCTCCACGCTCTCCTGAGGGATGTGAACCATCTTTTTGGCGTGCTCCATCTCGATCTCTCTCTCTCTCTTCGTGGCGTATACCCCTATCCACTTCCCCCTATGAGGTTCGATATGACGGTGCCTAGTATGGGCACTAGCAGAAGAGGTAAGAAACCACCGCTCTGAACGATAAGACGTTTTCTAGTTTTGACGGCTGAACCCGGTCTGGATAAACGTCTCAACAGCGGCGCGTGTTTTCGTAAGCGACGTTTCTGCGTCGGCTTGAGAGGTACATTACCGCGAAGAATATTCAGAGCACATTCACGTATACTGTTGACGAGCCGTGAGTCGGCCGCTCGTAACAAAGCGCTACGCTGTTTGCTATCCAGATGGCCAACTGCCTTTAACACTGTGGCGTGTTTGTGCCGTATAGAGCAGCGTGCGCTGGATACCATTATAACCGAATGACTGGTACGTCTCGATCGGTGTACCCGTCCTTTATACTCTTTCGCGGTACGTACACGTAGTGGAACGGGTCCGAAGGAAACACGCACATGCGAAAGCGGAAGTTATCGGGGGTCGACTGCTTCAAATCGAGTGGTAGATAGCCATGCGGTTGGGCCGTGGCATCGCGGTAGACCTCCTGTACGAAGCGCGGATTTTCAGGAAACGCCTGTCTGGCCAGATGCTGTATCTGTACTTTGTCGCGCGGATGTTTAAATACAACGATGTAGTTGGCGTTCAACGAGATATCGCCATGTCCTTGCCCCTGATGAAAGAGGTTCTGCGTGATAAAAATACGCTGATATTATTATGATGGCTGCCTTTGGTAAAAAGATTGACCACCGTGTTATTGGACTATTCCCTCATAAGGTCGTCGATGATGACGAGTTTCGGGAGTGGATCGTTGCCGTAACCGGCGTTCTGCGGTAGCCCCTCGTAAAACTCTATAGCGCTCCCGTACTCGCTGTACCTCTCCAGCCATTCTGCATAGTAAAAGAGAACGCGTGCGAAGCGCACGTTGCTCATGTCCTCGATGAGCCGTAGGAATTTCTTTACAAAAAACGTCTTCCCGCAGCCCGTTGTACCGCATACCATCGACGTCCATGGGTGGTTCCACGGCGTATCCATTATGCCAAATGAGGTTATTTGGCGGTGCTCTTTACGAATATATTATTAAAGAGTCTACCGGACTTTACATAATCCCACCGCCATTGTTGGGGGTGGGGGGTCGAGCCGCGGTGGCCGCAAGACACGCGTGAGGCTCGTACGTCGCGCGCGCGCGTGTTAGCTCTTAGCGGTGACGTTGCTAGCCCCTCGTCCGGGTGAGCTCATCGTGCACCTGTGAGCTAACTGCCTGCCTGTATGTGCGTCAACCATATCGCTAGCCACCGTGCACTGCTAGCATGTCCGAAGCACCGCTGAAAAAAAAACATGGATGGGCTGGTAGAACCTTCGGGGATAGACCGATAAAAGAAAATTTTTTTTGTTTTTCAAACAAATACGTTTATTATCCGTATTATTATTGCTCAGGGTTGTATATACATTTGTACAATTTTTTTTGGTAATATTAGTTACATAAAGCCATACGGCAAGGATCCGAAAAGACCGTCGCGCCGCCGTTTTTGAAGTTCTGTCGGTTTACACGATTTTGATTCGAGGCGTGTCACTACGTCGCGAAACGGAGTACGACGTATCGCGTCATAGTGTAAAACGACCACTTCGCTGGTCTCCCCCGTTACATAAGACCGTATTCAGTCATAATTAATGGCAAGATTCGTAGAGTGGTCGATCGTGATACCTTTGACTTTGCAGACCTCTGCGTGAGAACCGACTGGCTTACGTACCCGGTACGCGTAAAATTTCAGGCCTCCCGATACAAAAGACGTGATATAGCTACCAACATCGTACGACTCCAGCTCGTCCGTTAAATCGCCCAAAAGACTGCCGAGCGGCGGCTCGTAAGCGTTATCGGCGTGACGACCACCCGATACGTATATACACGAGTCGGGGTCGTAATATAGTACACGTCGATCTAATTTCTCGAGATAGTCATATAACTTAAGACGAGCTTGAGCCGTGGTGTACGCGGCTATAACGACGTTTGTGTACGCTGTAGGTATCACCGATTCGCTCGTACTACTTGTGTTGACGTAGAGTACTTCGTCATCCGTGTACGCTGTGGGTATCCCCGATTCGCTCGTACTACTCGTGTTGACGTAGAGTACTTTGTCATCTACGGGTAGAATACCCGTAATTTCGACCTCCGGACACGTAAGCAAACTCACGAGCTTCTGACGAGTCGTTACGATTTCCGTTTTAGGTAGATTCTCGCGCTGCCCGAACTTACCCCAAAAGGAATTCAGACACAGTTTGGCGACTGCTCGCAGACCGGGATTTGATTTTATATTAGCAGGATCTAGTCGAATACCCTCGACCCGATCGTACTCCTCTACATACAGCTTCTTAGACTCATCGTCGCAGCACTCGCGCGGCCAGCCGCTAGCCTCCTGCTTAATCTTCAGGAACGTATTTATGTAACTGGCAAAGTGACCGCCCGTCCGCGTCGTCGGATCGTACTGAGTGATCTCGTATTGCCATATTTCGTTTATCGCCGTTATTTGATATCCTTTACGTACAGCGCGTCTGACCTCGTCCACAACCCATGTCCCTTCGAATATTCTATCCTCAGGATTCTCGTGAGGACACGAGCCCTGTAGCGTTGACTCTGCACAGGAACGACACAGTGCGAAAAGCAATTTACCGTGCATGCGTGTCGGTAACACGGGGTGATACAGATCTCGCGGTGGTAACACGACACACTTAATCAGCCCCCGCATGACCTCGTCCACAACCCATGTCCCTTCCAATACTCTATCCTCGGGATTCTCGTGAGGACACGAGCCCTGTAGCGTTGACTCTGCACAGGAACGCACGTCGATCTAATTTCTCGAGATAGTCCTATAACTTAAGACGAGCTTGAGCCGTGGTGTACGCGGCTATAACGACGTTTGTGTACGCTGTAGGTATCACCGATTCGCTCGTACTACTTGTGTTGACGTAGAGTACTTCGTCATCTACGGGTAGAATACCCGTAATTTCGACCTCCGGGCACGTAAGCAAACTCACGAGCTTCTGACGAGTCGTTACGATTTCCGTTTTAGGTAGATTCTCGCGCTGCCCGAACTTACCCCAAAAGGAATTCAGACACAGTTTGGCGACTGCTCGCAGACCGGGATTTGATTTTATATTAGCAGGATCTAGTCGAATACCCTCGACCCGATCGTACTCCTCTACATACTTCCCTTTTAGGTAGATTTACGCGCTGCCCGAACTTACCCCAAAAGGAATTCAGACATAGTTTGGTGACTGCTCGCAGACCGGGATTTGATTTTATATTAGCAGGATCTAGTCGAATACCCTCGACCCGATCGTACTCCTCTACATACAGCTTCTTAGACTCATCGTCGCAGCACTCGCGCGGCCAGCCGCTAGCCTCCTGCTTAATCTTCAGGAATGTATTTATGTAACTGGCAAAGTGGCCGCCCGTCCGCGTCGTCGGATCGTACTGAGTGATCTCGTATTGCCATATTTCGTTTATCGCCGTTATTTCATACACTGCACTCACGCGGCTAACCGCTAGCCTCCTGCTTAATCTTCAGGAATGTATTTATGTAATTGGCAAAGTGCTCGCCCGTCCGCGTCATCGGATCGTACTGAGTGATCTCGTATTGCCGTATTTCGTGTATCGCCGTTATTTGATATCCTTTACGTACAGCGCGCCTGACCTCGTCCACAACCCATGTCCCTTCGAATACTCTATCAAGTGGCCGCCCGTCCGCGTCGTCGGATCGTACTGAGTGATCTCGTATTGCCATATTTCGTTTATCGCCGTTATTTGATATCCTTTACGTACAGCGCGCCTGACCTCGTCCACAACCCATGTCCCTTCAAATACTCTATCCTCAGGATTCTCTTGAAGACACGAATCCTGTAGTGTTAACGCTGCACAGGAACGACACAGTGCGAAAAGCAATTTACCGTGCATGCGCGTCGGTAACACGGGGTGATACAGATCTCGCGGTGGTAACACGACACACTTAATCAGCCCCTCTACGCTATCGATGTTATTGTGATCACCCGTTAGTTCGCGACAATCATTGCCCACGTACACTCTAGGGTGACCTACAGGGAATTTCCCCGTTTTCGATATGAAGGGGTAGAGCGAACACACATCCACGTAGTGTATCCTCTCAGAACCCTCGACTTCGTAAAAACTGACGGTATTCCCTGTACGTCCACCGAAGAAAGCATCGCGGGGTTCCAGCGGTAGTTGCGCTACCAACGGGTTCTCATTCAATGTTCTACATAATGTAGCCTGTGCCGGATCGCTTATCCATCTATCGAAATCACACTCCCAGATTTCTGTCAATTCGTAACCGAGATAGCGGATCTTATCACTCATTGCCAGCGTTCTCTCGAAGCGCGCATCCATAGATTCCCCCATGTGCAACCGCGTATCCCTGTTTATGCGATAACATTTTGGGCACCCGTGCCAGAAGCATTGCCTGCGTTCTCTCGAAGCGCGTATCCATAGATTCCCCCGTGTGCAATCGCGTATCCCTGTTTATGCGATAACGTTTTGGGCACCCGTGCCGGAAGCAACCCTGAAACTGCAAGACGTGTCGCAGGCCTGTATCGGCGTCGTGGTAGTATCCGTCGACGGGCGTACCCTCCGGTAGACGGTACTCTCGAGTGCGCCCTGCGTGAACTATAGTACAACCCCAACGATGCTCTAGCAAAAGGAGCCATAACAGAGCCTTACGTGATTGTTTCTCGCTGTAGCGGTATCCGCCCGGTGGTAAAATGGCTATCTGCTCGTCCCGCAAAAAATTTTTTCTAAAAACTCTTGAACACGCTGAGGCTATGGTGGTGCTCTCCGAGAAAGGACAAACGCTACCGTGCTGGAGAAACATTGCGCGGAAAGAAACGCATGCCTGTCTGAGGATGGTGACATCGGATCTACAGTAATCAATAAACTCTGTTCGAAAGTTAAATACGTAGCCCGCAGACCGTTGTCCGTTATACCATGCTAAGAATTGATTACGTTGAGCCGTCGACATCGTATCGGGCGAATAAAACTCGAGTGGCGATAGAGGACCGATATAATGCTGATTCTCGGGGGTGTCGAATAGATGCGGAAAGATACCTTTTTGTTTCAAACCAGCAGAGCCTACGAGACCGAAGGCTTTTGGCAGTGCACTCAGCGGTATGCGAATATAATTAAGACTGTCTATATACAGGGTGTTCCGAAACTACCTGACCCGGTGGTTATGACGGTGTTTTGGAGGCCTCACTGATCACGAAAATGACCTTCCTTTTATCCGAAAGCTCGTAGTTTTTTAATGGGAGCAGGTCAAAGTTGACCAATCAGAACGAGGCGTCAAGAGAAACATAGGCACCTACGAACTCTGAGTTTTCTTCCCTCGCTTTTCTTTCTCGGTAGCTTGTTTCTTGTTTCCAATAGGCATGTTTTCGGCTGACGTCATCCTGCCCGAAGCCACCGAGAAACAAAAGCGAGGGAAGAAAACTCAGAGTTCGTAGGTGCCTATGTTTCTCTTGACGCCTCGTTCTGATTGGTCAACTTTGACCTGCTCCCATTAAAAAACTACGAGCTTTCGGATAAAAGGAAGGTCATTTTCGTGATCAGTGAGGCCTCCAAAACACCGTCATAACCACCGGGTCAGGTAGTTTCGGAACACCCTGTATATAGACAGTCTTAATTATATTCGCATACCGCTGAGTGCACTGCCAAAAGCCTTCGGTCTCGTAGGCTCTGCTGGTTTGAAACAAAAAGGTATCTTTCCGCATCTATTCGACACCCCCGAGAATCAGCATTATATCGGTCCTCTATCGCCACTCGAGTTTTATTCGCCCGATACGATGTCGACGGCTCAACGTAATCAATTCTTAGCATGGTATAACGGACAACGGTCTGCGGGCTACGTATTTAACTTTCGAACAGAGTTTATTGATTACTGTAGATTCGACGTCGCCATCCTCAGACAGGCATGCGTTTCTTTCCGCGCAATGTTTTGTCCTTTATCGGAGAGCACCACTATAGCCTCAGCATGTTCAAGAGTTTTTAGAAAAAACTTTTTGCGGGACGAGCAGATAGCCATTTTACCACCGGGCGGAAAGGCGCCCGTGGAAAAAAATATTCTATTCATTTTTTACGATTTTAAAACACAGCACATACAGAAACTACCCGGTGACGACACGGTACGCATCCACACACCAAACTTGTGCGTCGTTCAGCAAATGTGCACAACATGCATAAACGATACAGATCTCGCGAGGAAATGCCCATCTTGCAGTGTACGCGAGTACGTCTTTGAAGAGCATCCCATAAGGCAGTTTGTAGATTACGCGTGCGATCCTAAAAGAAAATCATTTCAGAGAGTAATCTGTGTGGCGCATACTGCCAAGGGTTTCGACGCGCAGTTTATACTGAAGCATATTGTGAAGCTCAAACGGAAAACTCTAAAACCACCGACGCTGATACTCAGTGGCACGAGTATCATAATGATGAAGACGGGTCGTGTAACATACAGTGTGTTCAGAAACTACCTGACCCGGTGGGCACGGCGGTGTTCGTGAGGCTTCACTGATCACGAAAATGACCTTCTTTTTGTCCGGAAGGTCACAGTTTTTAAATGGGAGCAGGTCAAAATTGACCAATCAGAGAGAGGCGACAAGACAAACGTAGGCACCTACGAACTCTGAGTTTTCTTCCCTCGCTTTTGTTTCTCGGTGGCTTCGGGCAGGATGACGTCAGCCGAAAACATGCCTATTGGAAACAAGAAACAAGCTACCGAGAAAGAAAAGCGAGGGAAGAAAACTCAGAGTTCGTAGGTGCCTACGTTTGTCTTGTCGCCTCTCTCTGATTGGTCAATTTTGACCTGCTCCCATTTAAAAACTGTGACCTTCCGGACAAAAAGAAGGTCATTTTCGTGATCAGTGAAGCCTCACGAACACCGCCGTGCCCACCGGGTCAGGTAGTTTCTGAACACACTGTATGTTACACGACCCGTCTTCATCATTATGATACTCGTGCCACTGAGTATCAGCGTCGGTGGTTTTAGAGTTTTCCGTTTGAGCTTCACAATATGCTTCAGTATAAACTGCGCGTCGAAACCCTTGGCAGTATGCGCCACACAGATTACTCTCTGAAATGATTTTCTTTTAGGATCGCACGCGTAATCTACAAACTGCCTTATGGGATGCTCTTCAAAGACGTACTCGCGTACACTGCAAGATGGGCATTTCCTCGCGAGATCTGTATCGTTTATGCATGTTGTGCACATTTGCTGAACGACGCACAAGTTTGGTGTGTGGATGCGTACCGTGTCGTCACCGGGTAGTTTCTGTATGTGCTGTGTTTTAAAATCGTAAAAAATGAATAGAATATTTTTTTCCACGGGCGCCTTTTTTACCGGTTTGACGTAACACTGATGGCCTACTTTGTTAACGGTCTTGCAGACTCTACAGTACACCTTATCGCAAGAGTGTTTACGCAGCGCTCTTTGAAGAGGCCTGAGACACTGTGGACAGCTGCGAACGGCCTGGCATACGCTCTTTTCTTTTCCTTTCTGTTTAATAAGTAGCGTGTTTATATGATTATCGAAACAGATTTGGCCAGAAAAGTACCTATGGCATTCGCGACAATACAATGTACGGAGAGCAGAATCGTAGGGCGGTTTTCCGAAACATCGAGCGCATTTGTGAGAGCACTTATGCTCTGCCTCGTGCGTGTAAGATCTGTTACATGGTATGCAAAAACCACGACTACCGACCGCACGCCACATATTTAAAATAGGCTGATAATGCTGCGAATTATTATAATACAGGATGCGGAGCGTTTGCCGTGGTTTCCCTGAGCCGTACGCGTTATCAACTGCTTGCGAACCGTCGTACAGCGGTTTCTCGCCGCTACCTATGCTGTCAAAATCGTAAACAACGATTGCTATACCCCTCGGGGCTAGGTAGCTTTGAAATTTATCAATTTCTGTAATACCGCAAGCGTCCGGCGGTATGGCTACACAAGCGTTTGTCACAAGCTCGAGAGCAAATTGTTTTTGTAATTTACTCCGTTGACGCCGTACAGCGTTCCATCGGTCATGCAACTCCCCAGAACGCACCTCCCCGCGTTCAGCGTGTACCATCGCCACAGCGAGCGACCTAGGTAGACAGAGGTTATCGTTATTCACTATGGTCAGTATAGTGATTTTTTTTTGAAATTCGTGCGCTAATCGCACGCGTCCTGTACCCCGCGGTACTTCGACTATACACGACTCGATGACAAAAGACCTATCTATTTGGAATGCCTGGGCGTTCTGTACGCCGGACGATATCACACCCCACACATCGTTTTTGAGAAGTTCTCGAGCCGGCCTGTACGACAGCCACGCTGCTCCGCACGCAAAACTGTCGGATTTGATCGTTAGATCTATATAGTCCCGCGCGGTACACGAGCTTGTGAGGTACGCGTGTATATCTCTGACTGCCCCGTGTAACCATGATACCGTATTTGTATCAGGGTCTTCGGGCGGCCTCCGGATAGCCATTGCTATTTCACGCCCGTCTAAACGAAACCTATTTATACGACGTGTCGTTTCGGATTGTATTGTAAATCTATATCCAGGCGGTAGCACGTCGTTATTGATATTTCCGTCGGCATCATCGTCGTCGCTCTGTGGTCGAAGAAGGGGGCCACCGCCGATCTGTCGACATACCCCGTCGTCCTCTGCATCTAACGTTTGGAAAAAAAGTTTTTATTTTTACTTGTCAAACACAAAAAATGGTGTTAAGCGCATACTGATTTCTCATTCCTCGCGAGGATTAAACATTGACCCTATGTATGAGAATAGCGCGTCTAACTGACTTTCATCACTCCCTACATTTTTTTAAAGTTAGCAATTTCGAGAAAAAAAAGCGTTAACCGCTAAGGAACACAACTTTGTACGTTACCTTCTTCGTAGGTATCCGAGTCGTTTAGATTCTCATCATCATCATCATCGAGCTCTGCTAATACTTCGGCAGCCTCGTCGGCATCCGCCTCTACGTACACACCGTTCCTAAGAACCCATAGTATTGGTTCTTCAGCATTGTCCTGATCCTGCGGTGGTAGCAGGTCACCCTGTACAATAGGCTCTCGACTATCGTTGTCTATATCAGCATTGAGCGAATCTACAATTTTTTTACTTTTTTATTTTCACACAAATAAATTTCAAGCGGTTTCTGTGTTATGTTCGACGCAACGCAACCCCATTGCCCCCCCCCCCCCTTCAGCACCCCTCAGTACTGCCATTAGCAAAGGTTAAAGACCACGACAGATGTAACCGATCCTCGACGAACATGCGTTAATTATTGTAAATCATAGATTACATATATATATTAATAATTAAGGGATATTATCATATTATATTATACTGTACACGACATCTCATACTCTCACACATTTCCAGAAATCACACCAAC